TCAGTTTCCGTGCTAAATTTAGCGGGAAAATTCACATCTTGTAGCCAAATCATCAATTCGGTGTGCCCGCCAAATTTAGCGGGAAATTAACGTCATGTGATCATACACCAATTCACTTTCCTTGCTAAATTTAGCGGGAAAATATACATCACGTGACACATCAATTTTCTTACCAAAACCCTATAATGCATTTCATGCATTATATAAGTGTGAAGGTATAGGTCGCTGCCAATTTTTATTATCATTGAATAACAACCTACGAAATTTTGTTCCCCTCTTGTATATGGTAACCCGCCAAAAAATTTGCAGAGATGTTTTTGTTACAAACAAACTTTTTTTATGTTTGTATCTGGGCAAAAACACCCGTTTTTTGCCCAGATACTGCACCGGTGGTCCGGACCACGTGGCAAAGTTTCAGAACAAACCGTTATCTCATTCAAAAGTTAAAAGCGACTTTTTGAAATTTCCAATAAAAAAATGGCAGCCTACAAAGCCCCCAAATACATGGAGCCAAACGGCGCCAGTTACCAAGAAGAGACCCATTTTCCGAATAAAATTTTCAGAAAATCACTTATAACTTTTTAATAAGATGACGACTAGTTCTGAAACTTTGGCATCTCGTTCGGACACCTAGCGCTGCATTTTGGGCGAAGAAAAAGCACTCGGCGATCTGTCGCCAATTTTGGCGGTGAAAACAATCCTGCAAATTTTTTGGAGGTGACACGTTGTAGTTCTTTGTCTGTGTGTGTGTGTGTTTGTGTGTGTGCACACAAGTGCGTTCGCACGTGTGTGTGTGCGCGCATATAGGTTATATGCACAATTCATGTCAGTGAGCATTGTTATGACGTCAGAGCCACCAGATTAGTGTTTTTGCCATCTTCCGTCTGTGGATAGCGCACATCTGCATTCAACTTTGTTTTCATAATATTTTGTCAATGCATTTTTGTATTCAGTGGGTCGTCGTTTAGTACCGGTGCAACGAAGAAAAGTAAGATGGCCGCAAGATTACGAGAAATGAATTGTCGGCAACGAGATCACGAGACTAGTCGCTGAAGCAATGAAATGGGCCATTTACCATAAAATACCGTGCATCCGCCCATTCCGCATTAAGCGCCCATTACCAAATTTGCGAGATCTGGGAAAATACGCACGGTACATTTATATGTAAAATTGATGACCGAACAAGTGCTCATTCCCCATTGTTTTGCGATTATCTCCAAAGTTTGAGTGGGCCCGGTATTTTACGGTAGGTAAGGGAACGGTCCTTGTCAAAGTCACCATTGTCATGTTACGTCATACGTCACGTTTCCTATAATGACGTCACAAGGGTAACATTGTGATGTTACCCTGGTGACTTCCGTGAGAGTAAGCCTCGTAACCCTTGTAAGGGTAAACCTCATTAGGATAACCCTCGTGAGGATAACCCTCGTGAGGGTAACCCTCATAACCTTCACGAGGGTAACCCTTGTGACATCATTATGGGAAAGGTCCCATAATGTAAAGCATGCTTACGCCGACGGCGACAAGGTCGCTCAAGCCAGAAACAAGCGCTTAAGAGCCGTGCTCTAAAATAAACTATGCATCCCCGAATGCTCATTCTCCACCCAAATGTAGCACTAGAGGTCCCAATCACATGCCAAAGTTTCAGCATTAACCGTTGTCTCACTCAAAAGTTATAAGTGATTCTCTGAAATCATTGATGGAAGAATGAGGCCCATTTTTGCCCATTTTCGGTAACTGGTGCCACAGAGCACTGTTGGCTGCAATTTTCCCATTGACAATTTAAGAAAATCACCTATAGTTTTGGAACAACATAACGGCTAGTGCTGAATCTTTGGCATGTGGTTTGGACCTCTACCGCTACATGTGGGTGGAGAATGAGCAATGGCAATGCATACCTTATTTAAAAAAAAAGAAAAAAAACTTTTTTGGACGCTTAATACGCAGTGTGAGAAATGGTCGTTTATAACATTGTCAAAAGTTTTCGAGCCGATGGAGAAAAAATTTTGCACAAAAATAGTAGGAAATATACGGAACTCGCCAGTGTTCCACAACCACCCGACAGATGGTGCCAGCATGTTCTTTTGTCGTGAGAGATCCCGAGAGGTTTTAACAAACTCGGTTGTAAGCAGCTGCAAGTGTGTCGACCAGACTTACTAATTTATTTATTTAGTTATTGATACTGCAACCCCTGAAAGGGATTTTAGCAGGTGGGTATACACTTGATTGACAAGACATGCAGGCATACAAAATAGCAAACAAGTCGCAGAAACAAAAGAACAAATATTTTTCAGAGGGACCAAACTAGGGATGCCGCGAACTTTTTTCGAATCGAAGTTTCGATGATCGAATCAAGCGGTTCGAAAGGTTCGAAAGATTTCGATTTTTCGAATTGTCTATATCGTAAAATTCGACGGAGGTCGAATTTTCGAACTTGTTAAGCTAAGAAGTTCGACGCTTTTCGAACCGTCGAACTTATTACGCTAAAAAATTCGATCTTTTTCGAACTTTCGAATTTATTGCGCTGCAAGGTTCGATGCTTGTCGAACTTTCGAACTTGACTGACCAAAAAATTCGATAAATTTCGAACTTTCGAACTTATTTATCAAGAAAATTCGAAAAGTTTCGAACTTTCGAATTCTGAAAAGTCAGAGGTTCGACGAACTTCGAACTTTTAGGGTAAAAGTTCGACGTTCGTCGAACTTCGAAAGACCGGCGGCCGGTTTCATTTGATTTCAAGGAGTGGGGTACATTCGTAATTTTTTTTTCTCGAACTTTTACACGCGGTGCTGCGTTCCTTACGAAAGACAATGTCATTTATTTCAATGTTCTGGCATGCTTAGGTTTAAAGAAATAAATCCCCGAAGGGGCGAGGACGGACGACGGGTTTTTGACGATTATCGTTTGTGCCAGATTTGAAGCACGCTGCAGCCGGAGCTATTTATGGTAGATATGTTATACTTTTTTAAGAATGATCTATGTATAGCCTAGGTAAGTGCCGTCTTAAGATGTGATTATTGTTATTCAACGTGAGTTTCGAAGAAATGTCCAAACATGTATCTGCATGCAATTATGACCTAAACTTGATATTTATTTTCGTCTAAGTTGTTTGAGGTATCGCATTTAAATTAGCACCACAGACAGTACATATCATTGCCATCTGCAGAATACAAAATAATATATTTATTGTTTTTTCACGTTAAGGAATAAATTAACTCATTGCAGAAGATTTCTAGTAGTGTTCAAGTTCAGCACGTCATTAAAAGAAAACTTTTTTTTTTTTTTTCGCTTCACGTTCCTGGGACGTGTTTCTTTTAGCCTGTACACATTTTGGTAAAAGAAACTTGTTTCGAAGTTCTGAACCTCTGAATATGCACGAATAGAACACTTCCGACGAATTCTTGATAGTTTTTTTTTTTTCTCCTGCTTTTTATTCCCGCATTTATTCTTTTTTTTTTCTTTTGTTACTATCGGCACAGGTGTTTAGGTCGAAAAGACAGCTTTGAACTTCCGAACCACTAAGCATGTGACGAGCAGTGCCTTCTGACAACGAGTTTCTAACAGTGACCATCTACGCAACCTTTTATGCAGTGAAGAGCGACAGTAGCTATACATATGCATAAATAATTTCAGATTAAAATAAGATCGACCACGCCCTCTTTCCTCGTATTGTTTTCTTTAACAGTCCGAAATACCTGCAAAGTAGAGAAGAAGGCTGAAGCCCCCCTCCCCCCCCCCCCCCCCCCCCCGCTATCCTCTTTCCCCCCGTTTTTCCTCTTCCGACGCCACTTGTATGGTAGAACGCTCCTCGACCTCGAGTTGTGTCGGCTTTTGTGCTTTTTGCGAGGCGATTCCTCCGTCCCAGAAAATAAACCTCCAGGACAATTACAAACTTCACCGCATCGGATTACTACCAGCGTGCAAGGGGTGGCGAGGTAGTTTGCCAGGTCGCTTCAAGGTTTTTCTGAGCCTCAACCTCCTGCTCGCCCCTGGCCGTTTCGAACTGGATGAGTCTCGTAAAACAGTGTGTTCGTGCAATCACTACTGCTTGATGCAGGTTAAAGACCCCCCCCCCCCCCCCCGGGGGGCTGGCGGTCACAATTCTGCACTGGCAAATATTCTAGCACGTCCGGGACACTCGTCGTCTCATTTAATTGCCTTACCAACTTCGCAGAATCTAGATATCACACCCTAACTTTTCTAAACTTGATTTTGTGAAAACAAGTGAGCCGTGAAAACGTTATTTGAAACTGAAACTGTAGAAAAACTTGAAAATCGGACTTCAAACTTTGAAAACTTGGATTAAAAAAAAATTCAAAATCTTCGAAGTTTTTTTTTTTTTTGAATGTAGCGTTAAAAGAGAATCGAAACTTTCGAACTTTTCGAACTTTAAGCCAAAAGAAATTCGAAATCTTGGAATTGTTCGAACTTCATGTCTTTAAAAATTCGAAGCGTTCGAAGTTTTCGAATCTTTTTTACAAAGAATTTCGAAATCTTCGAATTTATCGAACCTGAAGTAAAAAAATATTCGAAATATTCGAATTCGAAATTTTAGAAACCGTGAAAGCTTCGAAATTTTCGAATTCGAAGCTCCTCTGTGGACAAAAGTTGCGAATTTTTCGAAATCGAACCTCGGTCGGTACGAAAATATCGAAATTTTTCGAAATCGAACCTTAGTTCGCTTCGCAAAAATCGAAACCTTTCGAAATCGAACCTAGGGTGGTTCGCGACATCCCTAGACCAAACTAATTTAGAAGGGATTCCAATAAAGACAATGATGGCTGCATAACGACACTTTCAGAAAGGCTATTCCAATCAGTTACCATTTGTGGAAAAAAAGAGTACTTGAAGCAATTATTATGTTTCAAGAATTATAAAACAAATTGAATTAAATTCAATTTGGAGCAAGCGAGGGTGGTGTCCCCAGTAGCTCACTGGCCTCTATAAACAGCAACGGTCAGGGCGGAGACAATGTGCCAAAGAGCGTGCTGCCCACTCACTCCTCTCCTCCATGTCCTTGTCCGTATCCTGACTCGGGTCCGGGGTCTTGAGGGCCTTGGCAGGCACTGTGCTGCCCATCTGGATCCTGAAAAGCAGGGACGACATCACACAGGAATGTTGCAAAATTGTGCCGCGAAAGCTAAACGAAGGATTGATCCAAGAGCCTGAAATTCTCTTCTCAAGCCGAAGCAAGATGCAATGCAAGAGAGCCGCCTAAAAATGAAAATTAGGAAGAGCGTTGCACAAGTAGCTTACAACAATGCACTGATCTCCCTTCCAGTTGGGATAAAAACGACCCCATCAAAATTCTCGTGCACGGGCTTTGATTGTTCTAGGTGGTGTTGACTAGGGCAGCTGATGTGGGCACAAGTGGACGAGGAACCAATCAAGTATTTTTCCTCAGTATTTTTGGCGGTCGCTGACAGCAAGTTTGCCGTTTGCACGATAAGGGCATTGCAGTTGGACTTAGCCATGGACAGAGGGAAGGGCAGGAACAAACACGAAAACGGAAAAGATGCGGACTCGCCTCTCGGCCAGCAGAGCGGGGTCAACGGCCGGCCGGTCGTCCGCTATGTCATAGCTGTAGGGCGTCTTGGCCTCGTCTATCTTCATATGGCCGTAGTCCTTGCCCGGAGGATGCAGCGTTTGGAGGACGTTCATCTCGTCAAACTTCAGGCTTTGGTGGCTCCTGGAACGAGCACCGCGACGTGGCGCACGGTTAAAGGTAGGGCGGAGCGCAGCATCCACCTCGGTCGACAAAACACTGTCCGCTTTGACACACTCGTTGCATGGAGACAAGATGGCTGACCAATTGAAGGGGAAAAGCACTTTTATGACCACATGCCATTGGTGAGCCTCATCCTCTTAATTGTGGAGCCTAACCCCAACAATTTGTCCTCCACTAAAAAACGCCTCGGCGATTGCTCAGATAACTAATGTGGAGGACACCGAGTGTTATCTATTCTTATCGCGAGCATTCCGTTAAGCGTAAATTCGGCTTGCTGCATCAAGTGTGGAGTGCAGCTATTATTAACCCTGTTTGCCTAGTCTCTTAGGCTAGACTGAGCACTTTAGTCATCAGCAACAAAACAGTGAGTCACCTTGAAACCACACTTCACCTGAATGCCATTCATTATATGTCAAGGTCAACACAACCAGCACGCACTAGAACAATGACAATGACTGTGCTTCATTTCTCAAGTGTCGCACTATTACCACGACATGCTTTATAAGGTGCCTAAATTTCATGACACGTATAGACGCCATTAGCTTCTTGACAACAATGCAGCATGTTCACAAACTTGTCACTTAGTGTCCAGTTAGAACATGGCTTTATTGATGATAGGAGGGCTATCTTATGATTTAAAGGTCTGTTGTTTCCCAAACAGCTCTAGTGGCATATGAGGGCCACATTTGTCCCACTAAACTGAAAAACAGTGAGAACAGTCAGGACTTTTGCATGCTCTCAACAAACCAGCGCTCAGTGTACAAGAAGTCTGATTCCGGTGAAGGTGATGGCGAGAACAGAATCCAATTTGCCTCTCGTGGAGCGAGCAAGACCGCGTTTGTGGTCGTTTCATCTGCTAATGTGAGTGGAGAGTGCGGTTCGTCTGCTGCGAAGCATAATTTGCACACAGAAATAAAAACAAGAAATTACCGTACATCGACTGCTAACGGACCGAAAAAAAGATGATTGTCTGCTATGAACAGACGCGTTGAGCAGCACAGTTTTCCAGAGAGCTGATCAAGCGGGTGAAAAAGGCGGTGGAAAGCACTGGAGCCCTAGACCTAGGAGCCCCACCTAAAACAAATCTTTCATATTTTTTTTTTTATTTTTTTTTGCTATGAATTGACTGTTGCGGCGGAGAGAGATCAGACGTGGGCTGAAATTGTGATCGTCTGCCATTTTACTCTGGAAACCGTCAACAATTTGTACCTCGTTTGCAAATCTCAAGTTCTGCCGCTGTAAACAAGCTAACATTGACTAGTGCACGAAGGAGTACTAAGGACAAGCACATAAGAGGCCGTGAGACCTCTTTCGCTATCTCTATATTGGTGAGACGTTCTCACTAGAATATTGTCTGATTGTGAACTCGCAGATGGGTCGAAAATGTCTCATTGGTCGATAACGCGCAAGCTGTGCCACCACATCCAATCAGCAGCCGAGAGGGCTCTCGCTCTGCCCTTGATCAAAGTTGGACTCGACAGGCCTTCAATCTCCATCTTTGCTCATTTCAATCTGGATGAGCATCGTGCCAACGTGCGGTGCACGTTGGCACAACTGCTTGGTGCATGTTGAAGACCCCAGACTAACAGTCGTACTACACAGGCTAAATTTCTCAGCTACAGCTGAGAGACAGGTCGCCCACTGATGCAGACTAACTGCCGGCTGTCCAAACATACATACACCACAATTACTTTACCCCAAGAGCGATACAGGCACACTGACGTCACAACAGGCAGAGAAGTAAACCTATCAATTGCGAGCAATCGCCAGCGGGGGAGTCGTTAACGAACGCCGCTGTGTTTGGCGACGGGACTCACTGCCTGCGCTCGAAGCTCCCCACCGGTTTGAGGATACCGCGGGCGTCCGGGGCCTGTCGTTGTTGTTGTTGGGACGTCTGGGGTCTCGTGCCCGACGGAGCACCCCTGCGCTTCCGCTCATCGGCCATACCATTCGGCCGGCCGCCCAAGAGGCCCGCAGATGGCCCCCATACTTTCGTGTCCGCCGCCGCGAGCCACATACTGCGCTCTTCTTCTTCGCCGTCAGTTTTGCTGAGTACCGATCAAGACGAGCGGTGACGGACGCGATGGGGGAGATCGGCAAACGAGCGTGTTGTGGTACCACAGCTCGGAGCACGCGCACCGAACGCTCGCGCTGCGGCACCCGGGGTTCCTGGGCTCAATCCCTGCATCTGCCCGTTTCGAACTGAGTGAGTGTCGTACCGCCGTACGGTCGTGTTTCACTACTCCGTGATGCACGTTGAAAACACCAGGCTAGCGACGGTACAGCACTAGCTAGATTTCTCATCTACAGCAGAGACACAAGATGCTGACGACTAATCTCCCGGTGGATCGCACATGTAATGACACGACAGACTCGTTTGTTTGACGGACGCGATCTCCTGCCCGTAACCCTGGCACGACCTTCCATCTCGCGTCAGTGTCGCCCGACACCGGCCAAGCTAGAAGACACGCCCGTCGTGGAGGCGGTGGATGACTTTCAAGATTTTTCTCTCCGCGTAATTCGAAGGACTCGTCGGTAAATCTAAAATGCGGGAAGATGCCTTCTTCATATATTTGTCGTTGTTGCTGTAGCTGGGGTCTTTCAAAAGAAATTCTGATGGAGTGGCAACTGTTGTTCTCGGGCCCGGTATGAGGAGCGAAGTTTGCTTGGAGTCCGTCGGTACTCCCGGTGGCGTCGATACAAGGCGCGGGTCAAAGAGGCGTTCTTTGAAATCGCACTTACTGTCGTCGTCCTTCCGTGTATTCGAAGCTGGTGGATGGTTTTAATATTCCTTTGGCAGGTTTCTTCGCTAAATGCTCCGCCATGTTTAGGAGGCAGAAATTAGCTGGTTACTACTGCAAGCAATGGACTGAAGTAACAATGCCGAAAAACGCAAGATAAAACGGCGGTGGTTTTCAAGGCGGCGCTACTGTACATACCAATTGCTGGATCACGCATCCCCACTCCGCGAGCGCGGCCACTGGACGGCCGTCTTGCATGGTAAATCTTTTCGTTTTGCTAGCGTTTTGCTGCAGTTTACCAGCGTGCTATAGACACATTTTTTACTCGTTCGTCGTCATTCGCCAAAGACGTTTTTTAATATCACGTGTGAGGCGTGATACTTGCGGTTGAGAACACGTGGAAATTTTTACGAAAGTGCAGTGCCACAGAAAAAAGGCACAACTCGTCCAAAGCAGGTTTCGCCGGTCTCGCGGCGTGTTCAAAGCTTCCTTGGCACGCCGAAGTACCGTGTCTCTGTGCCTTCGCACGCTTGGATACCGACCAAGAATCAACGCCGCGTAGATGTGTTTTGCGAGTGCAATGTGTTTGAAGCAGTATCTTGGTAAGCTGGGCGAGTTGGTAAACTTTGAACTTGGTTAAAAATCGCGCACAAAGAAACAAGGACAAACGAGGAAGGAATACAGAACACAGACAGTCGCGTACTCACAACTCTAATATTAAGTGAAGAAAGGAAAGATGAAGCACGATTCATGGCATGGAACAACGGCACCAGGCCTGTACCTGCACACAGTGGCGTAGGCAGAAGGGGGGGGGGGGGGGGGTTTGGGAGGTCGAAGCCCCCCCCCCCCCCCCTCCTTCCCCATCCACCCGCTCCGGGCAAGAGCCCGGAGCACGGAGCAAAGGGGGAGTGCGGACTATCTCCAACTTATACGCTTTCGGGAGGATTGTTTGTGAGGAAAATGCTAAATTAAATAAAATAGTCCATATTTCTTCATTGACGCTTATTTTATGGGATACGGAACTTGATTTCACATCTATAGAGAACGGATATTTCGAAACATTTGTGGGGTGAGGGGTGGCAATTTTAAGGCAAGGTATAACAAAATGTCCTCACTGAAATACATAGTTAAATCAAACTAAAGTGAACATAATGAAACGAACACATGGTGATAATATAAAACAAAGTCAGTGATGTAAGGAATATTAAATTAATTGTAAAAACAATTTCACTGTAAGCAACGGGTGGCGCTGCGCTCACGCACACCTTGTGTACTGATCAGAATTACGTTCTTTCGACTAGAAATTACCGCGTAATAAAAATGTAACTGTGGCTAGTTATTTTAGAAAGCAATTTACAGGCTCTCTTGATCATTTTATTTACGCCAAGCGCCTACTTTTTAAGATGCAGCCGCCTGCGTTCACGACGAAGAATATCCAGGATGTCCACCGCTTGAACTTCAATGTCGCGGTGATCATTCATTAGCACTAGTCCGAGCAGTCGCTCATTCGAAGTGGACGCTCTCAGGTATGTTTTCCACCGTCGTAGTGAAGAGAACGAGCGCTCAGCTTCCGCCGTTGTTACGCGCAGAGTCGCTAGGATCTTGAGGAGACGATAGACGTGTGGGAAGGGCCTCCGGACAGAGGGCGACCGCATGTAGCGCAGACGTGACCGACGTTTCATGTTTCTCCCTTTTATCGGACGCCTAAAATTTACCTATTTTTGGCGAAGTTTCTCTCACTTCGTGAAATTTCCCTCCATCGAGACGCCCGTTTCGATGGTCGCTCACGGATACGATGAAGTCTGTCTTGGTTTCTACTTTGCATGTCGAGGTGTCATCCGATGCAATTCGTTATTAGATTAATATTTTCGTTGCACTGTACATCAGGAACTTCGAAGAGCCTTTATATTCTCACTACACATAGGCGCAAGGGTATTCAAGTTTGTTTCCACATTCCGCGTGTGGTTTGCGTATTTGTGTGTGGTGTGTGATGTAATTTCTCCGAGTAATGAAACAACGATTTCGGTCTGACGACTTCTCATCTCCCCGAGGATATGCCGCCGCTGATCTTGGACCACACTGCAAGATAAAGCGGCCTAGCAAAAATAAGACTCTAGCTCTTTCCTTTGGCATCATGCTCTGTAGCGCGAATTTGTTAAACTTTTAATAGATAATAAATTTTGGTTTTGTTATTGTTCAGAATTACCCTCTCCCTCTGTATGGGCCGCTAGTGTTTGTGCGAGGACGGTTGCTCTAATTTTTCAGCGTCGAGATTTTTTTTGTTACATAATTTTTTTTTTTTTTTTGTGATTGTATAGCCTGCCGGTAACAGCCAGGCGGCGCCAGTAGAGTGAGAGCCCGATGCTTCCACCAGAGTAATAGCTCACATCTGAACAACGCAGCTGCCACTCCCAGGCATACCCAATGGTTCTTGCTTCAGTCGCTAAGTAGCGCAAAATCAAACAGCACTGTAGGTTGCCTATAGACCAGTGTCCGAAATCCTAGCCCCCAGCGATGAAAATGTGAAATAATAATCTCAAGCGCAGCCTCTTGTGAAGAGAGGGGCTTCGCATAAAACAAGGTTTTTGCTCTTTACAACACTCTTGGCATTGGTGTTGTTGCGGGCGTTCGACTCTGCGCCGCACAAATCTATCATCGAAAGTGCAGCGTCTTATGGCATCCGGGTTGCACCGCTGAACTTCATCAAATCTTTCCTCCGAGAAAGGAAATTCACCGTCAAAGCCGGGAAGACCGAAGGCCCGAAGTCGCCATGCGGCGTCGGGGTCCCGCAAGGGGCAGTGCTTTCCCCAACACTGTTCAATCTCGTCATGGCTAGAGTAACTGTATATGCTCCGCTCTGCAAGCAGAGCCTATACAGTTACTCTAGTCATGGCCAGAGCTACCGCGCCACCTAGCCGAGATCGAAGGTCTCGGCTTTACCATCTATGCAGATGATATTACCATCTAGACCAGGGGTGGCCAGGCTGGCCTGGCCTAAGAGCCGCAAACAAAACCACGAAACTTCTAAGAGCCGCAGGAAGGGGGGGGGGCAAACTTAACTTTTGTTCAGAGTCTGACTGTACGTATGGGGGCACGAGGATGTACGGCTGTACGTATGGGAGTGCAAGGCTTCCAGACTGTAAGCTGCAGAGTGCTTTATTTTGAAATCCTTTCTTTTTTTTTTCCTGGGGAAACGCGGTAGGGGGCGAAGGGGGGGGGGGGGGGAGGGGGGGGGGGGTGTCCCCTCACGAGGGATCCGCGAGCCGCACTTGGACCAGCAAAGAGCAGCATGCGGCTCGCAAGCCGCGGTTTGGCCACCCCTGATCTAGACAAAAGGTGGAGCAATGGGAAGGCAAGAGGAGGTACTACAAGAAGCTCTTGATACCATCACCAACTACCTCGACCCCGTGGGGATGGCTGCGGCGACTGAAAAAACACAATATATCGTTGTAGGGAACTGGCGGATCCAGGCTCAGTCAGAGACGGGCGGCGGAGAAAAGCTCACCGGAGAAAAGCTCACCGGAGAAAAGCTCACCGGAGATAAGCTCACCGGAGAAAAGCTCACCACAAAACCGGCAGATGCGGAGAAAAGCTCACCGATTTTTTTTTTTTTTTTAACTTAGCGGATTCTGCGTTAAACATGACGATTTAACACAATTCGCATCCGCCACTTCATTTAAAAAAAATATGTCCTCTTTCTTGTAATATTCTTGAAGGTCATTGGGCATATTTACTAATTCCTCAGAAATTAGTAATCACCCTTTCTGTATATTAATGAAGCCGTAAAAATGAAGTCAGAACATCGTACACCGGTAAAAAAGACATCAATTTATTGACAACTGAGGGTGCGCCGTCGGTAGCTCTGTCAAATAAAGAGGTTTGTTCTTTGGGAGCTAATATGAATAGCGGTGTGTGAACCGTTTCAGCTCCAAATATTCTGTAGTGCCTCATAGTTAAATAGGTATTTGTTGATGCAATCAGTGTCGGCTGCGCTGTTTTCTTTCTGCTAATTTCACTAAGAAAACTTTAGTTGCGAGAACAGCTTCGTCCTGTCGTGTTTGTTGTCTTCACTCCGTCGTCGTCGTTTGAGCGGTTTTCATCATGTATAACGTTTACCAACTCGCCCTATTCGCTACCTTACAGAAGACTATTTCTGATATAGGCCACGAGTAACAACGGTGCCAGCGTGCAGCTCTGAAAGTCATGAGTGCCTCACCTTAGAAGGGCACTATCACACAAAGGCAACATGCGGAAACACCAGCACGAACGGCTAGAAAACGTGCATGTCCGTGAAAGAAAGAAGCTTCAATATCCTACTGACTGTTTTATCCTGTTTTCAAAGGTTAATAAATGCTTCAAAGAGAATTTCAGGCACCGCGTTGTTGCGCATGCACTTTCGGATTTTCGGTGTTTACAGTTTTGATTTTTAGGTTTTAGGGAGACACAAGTTTTCGAACTTTTTCATGTTATTCAAGTTCATAAAATGTTCAGTTAGGCTTTAGTTGCCTAGAGAGTAAGCCGCAGGAAACACTGGCCCGCCATTATTAATTTGGGAACCATATACTTAATAAGCTTGGCAAATAATACAAAAAAGTCATTGTCTTTTTGACAAAGCTGACGAACTTTAATGATAATAAATTGATATATGTTACGCATGATCCAACCGCCTCCATATAAAAAGAAA